TTCATCATATGCAGTTATTGTATGATGACATATCACTGTATAATAATGACATGTATTATATGTAGTTATTGTATGATGACATATCACTGCTTAATAATGACATGTATTGTATTATATGCAGTTATTGTATGATGGCATATCACTGCTTAATAATGACATGTATTGTATTATATGCAGTTATTGTATGATGGCATATCACTGCTTAATAATGGCATGTATTATATGCAGTTATTGTATGATGGCATATCACTGCTTAATAATGACATGTATTATATGCAGTTATTGTATGATGACATATCACTGCATAATAATGACATGTATTATACATGTATGTAGTTATTGTATGATGACATATTACTGCATAATAATGACATGTATTATATGCAGTTATTGTATGATGGAATAGCACTGCATAATAATGACATGTTTTATATGCAGTTATTGTATGATGACATATCACTGTATAATAATGACATGTATTATATGCAGTTATTGTATGATGACATATCACTGCATAATAATGACATGTATTATATGCAGTTATTGTATAATGGCATAACACTGCATAATAATGACATGTATTATATGCAGCTATTGTATTATGGCATATCACTGTATAATAATGACCTGTATTATATGTAGTTATTGTATGATGACATATCACTGTATAATAATGACATGTATTATATGTAGTTATTGTATGATGACATATCACTGCATAATAATGACCAATCTGATTAAAATCTGATGTAGTGTATGGGCTTTAATTATTGTGGCTATAAACTTATTTTAATTTTATTTTTTATTACTTTTGTTATTAATGCCCTTTCATTTTATTATTTTACTTTGATTTTGATTTTGTGATTTTTTTTTAATTCTGCCCTACCTACATCTGATCCGACGCCTATGTAAGTCCCGTTCAAATCTCGCATAAGTAACAGCCAATCACAGCCCCCCTTTTATACAGGCTGTCGGTTGCTTACTTTTCAGTGTAGCGATACTCTACGGGCAATCTTTCTGTACATTATGTTTTGCTCACTTGAATAAACCATTAATAGAAAATTGCTAGTATATTTTTATTTGCAAAAGAAATTCCACAGCATTTTACAATTTTTGTCATTACATTGAATATTTTTTTCACTTCCAACAAATG